ATAAAGATCAAACCAATTAAATAAATATTTATTTTTAGAGTAAGACTTCACCTTCTGTTCTAATAATATAAATTGGTGCTAAAGGATTTGAAAAAAAGCGTAATGAAACTGGAATGACTTTTAAAGCCTAATTATTAGATGGGCAAGTTTAAGATATGGATTTTTTTAGTTATTTAGCAAGTATTGATTAAGTACTCATATAATTCAAAGGATTGTCTAAGGTACTTCGGTATTTTGAAATAACTAAGCATAAATCTCCATCCTCTCTTCCAACATTCTCCCTCTCCAACATTCCCCACCTCTAGCAATTGGCATCCTCCTCCTCAGGTCACTTTGGTCAGGAATGTGAGCACCATTCTTGATTATTACCACGATCTCAGCCTTGAAAGTCAATTAATCTCTGACTTTTATACTTCCGTAAGAGTTTATTAAATCCTTCACTTTCTCCATTCCCGTTGCAATACCTCTGCTGATCCTTCCATCAATCAAGTCCCCACCTTCTTCAGTCCTCCATACTGACACCAAGGTAATTTTCCCAAAACACAAATCAGAATGGATCGTGTAAGTTCAGACCCTTTAATGGCTTCCCATTATCCTAAGGATAAACTTCAAAATCCTTATGATGGTTTACCAAGCCCAGCTAAACCTTGACCCTATCTACCCCTCCAGGTTGACCCACTGAAACACTGTGTGCTCCAGCTGCCCTTCATCTTTGACTGTGGTAACACCGAGAATGTACCTGGCACCTTCGGTGTCCCAGGCTTCTGATAAACTGCCCTTTGCAGAGAGTGTTCTTCCCACCGCCACCCACCTCCACCTTCCCATAGCCACTATCCTCTGCCCTTGCCAGTGTACTTACAATTACCCATCACATCCTCAGTTTACTCACAATTTCCATAATGAGAACTTTTTTGACTCTTATCCTCATGTCTCTTGTTGGAGCAGGGGACAGTTGTTGCAGTAGGTGCCCCTTCATTTTTATTTGTAAGTCTCACTAAGTTACAAGTTTGTTGTTGAGAGTATAAATATTTGTTTACCATTTGGCTTATATCTCCAAAATATAGTGTGATATCTGGTACTTAATGAATAGCTATTGAAGAAATTAATTAGTAATAGACATTTTATATATTATTCCACAAAATGTTTTTTAAAAGGAAGCATAAACTATCATAATGTTAAGAGACAAATCAGCCACACTAAACCTCTCTAATACTATTTGTAAATAGTTCTTTGATTCTGTTCATACTGGGTTTTCTTTACCAAACAAACTTTAACCCAGGCAAGCTAAAAATTATGACAGCTAACATTTATTAAATCCATACTATCTTTCAGGCACTGTGGTAAATTCTTTACTAATATATCTTAGTTAATCTCAATTACTCAGTCCAAAAACATATCAATCATCCATCCACTTATTTTTTTTTTTGCAGCTTTATTGAGGTATAATTGACAAGTAAAATCCTAAGATATTGAAAGTGTACAACACAACAATGTCACATACATATGTGTTGTGAAAGGATCCCTCCATTCTAGTTAACACAGCCATCGCCTCACATATTCAAACATATTCAACCTTTTCTTTTTTTTTGGTGAGAACATTTAAGTTCTACTCTCTTAGCAAATTTAAATTATACAATATAGTATCATCAACTGCAGTAACTGTGTTATACATTAGATTTTCAGACTTTATTCATCTCTTAACTGAAAGTTTGCCCCGTTTTACCAGCCACTCCCTATATCCCCCACCTCCAGCCCTCGGCAACCACTTTCTACTCCGTTTCTCTGAGTTTGACTTTTTAAAAACTTATTTATTAGATTTCACATATAAATGATACCATTTGTCCTTCTCTGTCTGGCTTATTTTACTTAGCATGATGCCTTTCAGGGTCATCCATGTTGTCAAAAATACAGGATTTTTTAAGGCTAAATAATATTCTATTGTATGTGTATACTATGTGATAGATACATACATACAATATATTCATCCATTTGTTGACAGACATTTAGATTGTTTCTATACTTTGGTGTTACAGATAATACTACAATGAACAAGGGGATACAGATAACTCTTCAAGATAATGGTTTTGTTTCCTTTGGATAAAAACCTACAAATGGAATTGCTAGATTATATGGTAGTTCTATTTTTAATTTCATTGTGGTTGTACCAGATTACATTCCCGTCAGTAGTGTACAAGAGTTCCTTTCCTTCACACCTCAGCTGCATTTGTTATTTTTTCTTTTTCATAAAAACCACCTTAACAGGTACAAGATGATTTTTCATTGTAGTTTCGATTTTGCATTTCCCTGATGGTTAGTGTTCAGGCACCTGTGGGCCATGTGTGTCTTCTTTGGAAACTGTCTATTCAGGTCCTTTGCCCATTTTAATTGGGTGATTTGTTCTTTTGCTGTTGAATTGTATGAGTTCCTTGTATATTTTGAATATTAACCCCTATTGGGTATGTGGTTTGCAAATATTTTCCCCCATTCTATAGGTTGCCTTTTCATTCTGTTAATGGTTTCCTTTGATGAGCAAGCATTTTAGTTTGATGTAGTTTCACTTGCTTATTTTTGCTTTTGTTGTCAAATTTAAAAAACATGGCCAGGACCAATGTTGAACAACTTATCCCCATGTGGGACTTGTGTATGGAAGCACTGTTGGCTATCAGAGCCAGGTGATCTGGGGATCTGTCTCTTGGTTGGCAGCTGCAAAAGCTGGGGTGCAGACATGTGTACGAGCTCCTTCCATAGAGACACTGGTGAGCTGGCAGAGGCTTCAGTAGATAGCCGTGGAGGTGTCCACCAGTTTTCTCAAGTCACCGGGAGGATTACAGCAAGCCCCTAGGTGTGTGCTAAGTTATAAACTTAGACCTCAGGCAGCAGCTTTCAAAGTATGCAGATGGTCCCATTCATAAAAGACTGGAAGAGGGGTGGATTTTGCCTGTTTTCTCAGCACTGAACCCTGGAGGAATAGCTTTAGTAAGGATTTGCATGCCTGAACAATTGCTTCTTTGTTTGTTATATAGTCTTGTGGGTCTCATAAAGCAGGACTCATTGGCTTTCAGAACAGGTGTTTTGGGAGCCTGTCCCTTTGTTAGGAGTCTTAAAAGTTGGAGCCTAAATATGGTATCCAAACCCTTCACTCCTCGGGAAGAAGCTGAGTCAGGAGTGCTGGGGCTTAGGACAGGAGTGTGGCTCAGCCTGACCTGCATGTTTTGATGTGGGCATTTTATCATACATTCTACGTGTGGGAGTTACTCAGCTAGTTTCTGGCTTTCTCTCTGAGATCATTGCACCAAGTATAGCTGTACATTCAGTGCGTCCATGGAGTGAGGGGAGTTCAGGAGCCACCTGTGATGCCAGCTGGGTCAACCCTCTCATCCATGCCTTCACTCCTTTCTATTTCCTCTCTTATGACCCTGATCTAAGCTACCATGGCTTCTTTATTTTTCTTATAGGTCAGATTTATTAAGATAATCTACATACAGTTAAATTCTCATGTTCTATTCTGTAGTTTGATGAGTTTTGGCAAATGTAAACACTTGTGTTACCACTACTATGACTAACATTCAGAACATTGTCATTGCCACCAAAAGTTCCCTTTTAGTAGCCATCCCAGCACTCTGCCCAGCCAGGGGTAATATCTGTTTTATTTTCTATCCCTACAGTTTTGCCTTTTCAAGATTCTCACATAAATGTAATCTTGAAGCATGTATTCTTTAGTAACTAGCTTGTCCTGGAATATAATGTTGGTGCATGCTTTAGTAGTTTATTCCTTGTTAGAGCTGAATAATGTTAGATTTTGTGAATATACTATAATTTATTTATCTCTTTTCCAATGAATAGATATCTGGATTTTTCCAGTATTTGGCTACCATGGAAAAAGTTGCTATAAACATTCTCAGATAGGTCTTTGTATGGACAAATATTTTATTTTGAGTAAATATCTGGAAGTGGAGTTGCTAGCTCACATGGTATGTGTATATTAAATGCTACAAGAAACTGGTATACCATTTTGCACTCCTATCAGCAGTATGCAGATGTTCAAGTTGCTCTACATTCTTGTCAACACTTGGCATTTACAGTTTTTTATATGTTAGTAAATACATGTATAGTAGTATCTCTTTGTGCCTTTAACTAGTAACTAATGACATTGGGAAATTTTCATGTGCTTATTTTGCCACCTGAATTTCTTCTTTTATGAAGTGTCTATTCAAATCTTTTCTCAAATTTTGGAATACTGTATTTGTCTTCTTTTTATGAAGCTGTAAAACTTCATTGTATATTCTAAATCAGTTCCTTTAAGAGGTAGGTGTTTTGCTAGCAATCTGTGGCTTGATTCTTTTCTGAACAGTGTCTTTCAAAGAGTAATTTTTAATTTTGATGAAGTCTAATTTATCAAATTTTTATGATTCATGCTTTTCTACTGTTGTCCTATCTAAAAAATATTTGACTAATCTAAGCCCATGAAGATTTTCTCTTAAAAGTTTTATAGCTTCAGGTGTCTTACATACGGTATGAAGTAATGCTAATTATATTTTTTTTATAAGACGTTCATTTTCTTACAGGCCATAGCTCTTTCCGCTACACCAGAATTGTTCCTGTTTTGTAGAAGCTGATAAGGTCTTACTATTTAAACTTATTTATATTATCCTGAGCCCATAATTATTTACCTCAATGGTAAGCACAGGCCAGAACTACCAGGTTGACTTCTTCCTAGACCAGAGGTGTCAAACTCATTTTCACCAGGGGCCACATCAGCTTTGTGGTTGCCTTCAAAGGGTCAAATGTAGTTTTAGGACTGTACAAATGTAACTACTCCTTAAGTGTTAAGGAGTTAAAATTACATTTGGCCCTTTGAAGGCAACCACAGGCTGATGTGGAAATGAGTTTGACACCCCTTCCCTAGACATTATAAGTCACTAATTTTGCAAGTTATAGGCTAGTCATCATTGCTTAGATGCAATGTCACTGTGTATGATTATGCCAAATCATTGTTATAGGACCAATGGGTGCTGAAACAAGATGGTGCTGGCAACATGATGAGAAATTACATCCAATGACGTAGTCCAGTCCCTTCTTTTGAATATTCATGGTAAGTGATATCAGAAATGCTTTCACAACTCTCCTTATAGAAGGTGATATCTAAAGTCTTAATATTATATGGAAAAGTTACCATTTCCTGTCAGAACGATAAGATACTAAATAACAAAAAATGCATAACAACTTATTTTACATATATTTATTGCTTTATTTTTTAAGATGCCAATGCAGATTTCATTAATGGTATATACAGAATTTAGTTTGATTTTTTAAGTTTCCAGAAGGCTGAAAGTAAAGTGGCCTCTGGCTAAAAGTCTGTTTGGGTTTCTGCTTCCCTCCCACAGACTTCCTCTACATATACACTGCCTTTACTCCACATGGATTCTACAGATTTTATCTGAATTGCACTGAGTTGCACAGACATATCTACCCTAGGGAAGTCTGACTCTTTTAACATTCTATTCACCACTAATGTTCCTTTTTCATTTGGGCTTTTAATTTGTATGAATTCCAAATTACTATTTATTCTGATAGAAACACTACTAATTACACAAAGCATGTTAATAAAGAATGGAAATACCTCAGAGCATCTTCCCTGTGGTATTCTAATACCTAGTAGCTTTAAAATAGCATTAAGGCACTTTAATATCCCATGCTATTAAAACCCTTGCCACATGGTGTTTTCTAATGTTGAGCAAACTTTAGATTAAAGGGAATATGAAGAGGTCTAATCCTTCAGATCCTTCTTAAATTTAACCAACTAGAAAACTTTAAGCAAATATATTAACTTGCTGCTGAGGGCTTTTTTTCTTAAATAAGTCACTATAGTTGTACTAAATACAGAGTAATAAACTTGATTTTCTTGATACTGATGCTCCTCAAAGTCTGTTATTGAATCCCAGTCTTGTGTGTATATTACCATAGTAGATTACAATTGCCATAATTTCTTCCCCTTCTCATATCCACACCCTTTGCTATGTGGTTTCGCACTTTTTCTATCAAGAGGCGAAGTATGCTTGTTGCCTCCTGAGTCTGAGTTCAGGCATGTGACTGTTTTTGTCCAATAGGATATCAATAAATGGGATACAAGCAGCGATGTGAAGAAGCACTTCTGAGATGTAGTTTATTCTCTTGTGCTTGAACCATTGCCATAAAACTTCAGGCCCAGATTAGCCTGCTTGTCCCAAGATCAGGGTGAGAGACACATGAAGTAGAGCCAGGTTGACCTGGCCAACATCAGCCCAGATGCTGTTCAGACTCATGAGTGAACCCGGCATAGATAAACCAAACCCTACAGATATGTGACAGATATTTATTGTTGTGTAATCACTGAGGTTTGTTGTTGCTTATTACACAGGTATTTTCAGGACAAAACCTGATACAATCACCAATCAGGTTAAAAAACCTTTTGAGGACAGTGCCTTTGTTTTATTCATTTTGTCTAGCACTCAGTAGAGACTTATTTAATGAATATTGGATGGCTTTATGAATAAAGATCAATTGAAAATAATTTTTCTCAATTTCTTTTTTGGTATCCTGAGAGAACATGCTAATATCCACAATTGAATGCCTCAAAATCTAATACCAGAGGCCAATTCAATGAACTAACCTGTAATTAACCATCCTATTTTTCCTCCCAAGATCTTCAGGGATAATTTCCTTGAGTCTCTGCTAATCCCCTGATATGGTTAGTGCTTAATAACTCTTAACAATAAGAACTTCTGCTGATAAGGTTAAGTAGCCATCAGTGAATGATCTACAGACAATAGATGAGTACTGAATGGAAAAAATTTTTACACCCCAGCTCTACGAGAAGCAGCATTTATCTCAAGGCAGTTGAGAGCAGTTGAGGAGTGAGCCACTTTTAATCTCACCTCCTCCTGTTCCTTTCCCCAAATAAATATCTTTATCCCCTTCCCTATTAAATCCTATTCTTAATAATGGATCTAAATAGCAGCTAAATGAGAAATCACAGGTAATGTTACCTTTCATGAGGAGATTTGCATATTAGCATTCATTCGTTTTCTGGCTAAGCCAAGGTATCTCGCAGTAGCCCACTATAGCCTAATAAAGAAATTATCAGCTAGAGGTCTTGGAATTCGAGATCAACAAGAAAAATATACTTTGATTCAGCTTTTTAGCAAATGCAGCTAAAGAAACTTCATGAGCATACTGTTTAAAGAGCAACAGTAGTCTCCACTTCCTAGTTGAGTCTGAGTGACTCAAAATCTGGGATTTGTTTTCTAAGATTGTTTCTTCCAGTGGTATATATTTACCAACTCCTCTTTTTCTTATTTATTTTGAAATAACTTATACTGTAAAAATTACCTCAAGAATCCTTAGAAACAGAGCATGTGAACAAACAGTCAATGGTTGCTCCTGTTACTCTGTTTTTGTGGCTGGTGTGACAGTCATCTTCGTGCAGCTCTGTGATCATTTGTATGATCTACGCCCAGAGTCATTCATCATCAGGGTCTCTATTCTTAACTGCTACTATTGAAGCACTGTGTTTATTGGTAATTCTAGATGACAGATGGACATGTGCTAAGAGGATGTGCATGGACATCTGGCTTTTCTAAATATCCCACAGTAAGCGAATAAGTGGAATTTCAGAGAATATCTACACTGCTATGTTTAAGGTTTCCGTGCACATTTTGTTTAGCGTTACAAATTGACTGTCTAACAGAATTAGGTAGGGAAAATATATATCCAGTCCATGATGATTCGTGAATAATTGACTAGCCACACAGGTGCATAAGATTTCAGATGAGATTTCCTTCTTTTTGTGGATAATATGTATTATTAAAAGACTGTAAGCAAAAGTCCCAGAGATTCCTTGTCATTTTTTTAGACATTCCTTGTCATTTTTATAATAAAATTTTATGCATGATTTATCATACAACTAAAGTTTTCTAAATTCCTCGCCATCATGATATTATTTATACTGCAGTTTCTCCAAGAAAGTAGAATTTTATAATTTATCCTGATATTGTCATACTTAAAACAACACCAGCTGTATTTTCCTCTGTTCCAGAGGTGCTGGCATGGCAGTGTACTTAGTAATCCTCCCTTAAAGCACTCTACACCTTCACCTGGTACTCTTCATCATATAATTTCAATGCTATAGCTCATATAATGATATGTTTTACTTTTGTCACCCCAGCACTAGATTATAAACTATGAGCAGTCCAAGTTCATAGAAGAAGTTTAACTATCCCTAACACATACTATGTCCCTGGAACAAAAATAGGTGATCAATACGTGTTTTTGCATTAAGGAGTGTATAGACAGAAGGGAATGGGGAATCCTATGCTTTCTTCTACTCATTGTCCTGCTGCCTTTCCTAGTGCTGTTGTGCCTAGCGGGGACCCTACCAGGAGGCAAAGAGAACCCAGCTACTAAGCTCCTCTACTCTTTTCCAAACCCCTGCTCAGTCCATACTCAATTCCACCCCTTTGGCTCTAGCGTCAGATGTCCTGCCACTACGGACATGTACAAATGGGGACATCTTTTATTCTGAGTCAAGCAAAGTTTAGTGTACTGCCAAAAATGTGCTGCCTTCACACGTGGCCATGGTCACCCTCACACCCTCACATAACAGACACTCAGACCCACTTAGGGAAAGAAATATATTCTGGAAAACTATACCATTTCAAGTACATTCTTAAACTTCTGTAGCTGACTACAGAGAGGAAAATTTGGTACTTTGTACAATTCTCTTGAGTGCCACCATTAGAGAAAAAAATGGGGTGATTGGAATACTATTCTAAAGAATTTTGTATTTTAATGTTTTTTCTCATTTTAACATACAGTACAGCTATAAAATAAATCATTAAAATCTATATGTAACATAGTAAGTCTCAGAGAAAAGAAGCAAGGAATTTAGCAAACAGTGAAAATAAATAAAAATGAGCATTGACCAATATTTAAGGAAATGCATGTCAAAAATTGTTTTTTAATAATAAAATAATGTTAAACATTGTTGAAGACAGTAAGCAAGTCTAATGATGGAATATAGGCATGATAATAGCTAAAGATTCAGAAATTGAAGCAAGAAGACTAACAGGATATAAAAGCTAAATGTTACATAATAAAGAAAATTACATATTTATGATTTGGTGATTGAAACAACACAATATTTTAAAGAGATGGCAGAGGATTAAGAAAGTAGAAGTGGCCAATTATAATTTTAAAGTCATCAACAGCTACTGGGTCCTTACCTAGATTACCCCACTTTGAGTTTCATAATAACCTTTGAAAGGACCTTCTCACTTTCTAATCTCCCCCACTCGTTCACCAGGCTCCTTTCCTGAGTGCGGTTGAGTTGCATTCTTGTTCATGTGTTCATATCTTTCAGTCCCCATTGAATGCCGACTGCTTTCCATAAGGTCTTCTCTGATAACTAGCCAGAAGTGATGTCTCCCTCCTCTAAACTGCTGTAGAACTTAGCACTGCTCTTGCTCATGACTCTTAGAACTTTCTACTTTGTAGTATATTGACTAATGCATGTTTTTACAACTTTCTTACTGGTTCAATAGAGTCACTGTGTCAGGAATTGTGATACTCATCATGTGCTACTTCATATGTTAGATCACCATTTTTATGTTTATCAGCCCCTCTCATTCAAGATTGTAAACTCCTCAAGAATAAGGATCACATTTTATATACTTCAGTACCTGTTTTCATTTAGTACTTTATCTATATTCAGTAGTTATTGCCACATCCCATATAGTGTTTCACAAAAATCTGTTCCTTCTACTTTTTCCTGAGGTATCTACCCTAAGCATCTAGAACACTGTCTGGCACATAATAGGTGCTCAATACATATTTACTGAATGTGGTTGAATAAATGTTCAGTAAAAGTTGATGTTGAATGACTCTGAGTAAAAGGTTCACCCTTTTGACGACAGTTTCCAGGAGCTGATTTCTTGCCTATGAGAAGTAGAAAGCAATATGTAGTTCACTCAGGCCCACGCAGCCGCAGGCAGGTTAACTGGACTACTTACATAGGCATGTCCTCTGCGATCCTTATTTCACTTTATCTTTGGCACA